GTTCTGTAAAAGAAATAAATCACCTAAATCACCTAAAATGAGCAATTTCTATTTGTTTTTACCATGATCTAGATAAAGAACATCAGCAACAACAAAAACAAATCATATGCATATACAACTAAAACATTAACACAATTACCACCAAATTTACTTATTTCAAACCCACCTCTGTTTAACCTGGATTATTGCCAACGAAATAGAACACATTTTGCCTGTTGTTTTTATTTACATTGGCAGATTGGCATTGGTTCTGTTATTTTAAACAGTTTGACTTAGAGAAAACTAACTGTTACAAGGGAAAGTTTTGGGAAATAGTCACTGAAAAAGTAAAGCACCAATCAAAATCCAATCAGGAACACAGGAACCATACTATGGTACTGAGGGAATTTAATAATAGGGTATTGTTACCCAGGGGTTGGAGAGGGTCTCCACACCCTAAAGAGGGACATTGAGGTAATCCAGTGATGTAAATTTTAAGGAGTCATTTTTACCTTTAGAGCAGGTAAACAAAAGGAAAAGGTTGGGTTATTAAAGCTCAGAGGAGGGCTCCTGTTGAGGGCTCAAACTTCTGAGCGGTGGGCACTGGCCAGTGCTGGTTCTTAGAGTATACAAGGATGAGGCTGGAACCAACCGGTGATGACAGTGAAAAGGGCTGTTACTCCTGACGGGATGCTGTTAGGAGCAGGAAGCAAACAGAAAGGAACGTCTCTTTTCCCCTCTGCCTTCCACCCTCCCTCCAGGGACTTCTATTGATAGAACCCACCAGGAAGCCAGCTGGCAAGGGAGACATATAGTTTGGAAAGCCCCAACCCCAGTATTGCAAACCCAGAGTGTGGAAGGGTCAATAGGGAGTAGAGAGATGATAGCTTAATACATAGCATTAGGAGTAATTAAATAGAGTCATAAGTAATGGTCATTAATCATCTTCCAGCTTAAAAACTTCAACATGATCATATACTCCAAGACCTTAAAAATTAATAAATTAATATTCTTCTGTTGGGTTTGTCTATAATTAAACATACATTAGAATATGTTATGTCACTACATTTATCATTTAGTTGTCTGGGATGACATAAGTCTGGGACTTAGATGGCAGATATTGTTTTAGATGTTTGTGTTTCAATATAACATGTCAGATTGTGAGTGCAATGAAGGAAATAAAGCAAGTTAAGGGGGATACGAACTGGGGGTAGGGACACCTCTTTCATATAGGGTGGTGACAGAAGATCTCAATGATAAAGTGAAATTTGAGCAAAGATCCAAAGGAAATATGAGGGAGAAAGCAGTATGAATATATAGGTGTGGGGGGGGATCCTTTCAGTGGAAAACAGTTGCATTTGATAAATGCAAGACTGGTGAAGGTCTTGTAAGTAGGTGGACTTTTTTGTGGGTTTACAGTTTAACTATTTGCATAGTTCTGCTTTAGAAGACTGCGATTCTAGTAGGGTGACATCAACTTATTATCAAATATAGTACCAAGTTCAAACATTCCACAAAGCATTGCTCATCTCTTCCGCTGAGGGAGAAGCTATACTTCTTCACGCAGCAGGTTATAAAAAATTTGCTGATGGTGAGGGGAATAAGCTGAGTACATAATGGCCCACCTTCCCTATAAAATACTTTCTTTGTTTCAGAGTCAGCTATGAAATTCCAATAATAGTCTCAAACCTTTAATTTGGATTATCTGAGTAAATGTAAAATGCCCAGCACTGTACATAATTACTTCTTTGTTAAGACGTCAACCTTTGTTTTTTAGTTAAGAATTAATGAACCTCGATAATTGGCCAACAGTCTTTGAGGCAGAAAGTGGGATGGACACCATCAATACACTTGACCCAAAACAATGAAATCATTGTTGGCAGTAGGATCATGTTGCCTTTTGTTCAGATAATTTCCTTCTTGGAAAATACATGCATACTTTGGATTTAATGGTGCCAGAAATATTAATAAGTTAGCTATAATTATTTCTGAACCAGTTTGTCACTCAAACAATAAAGGTGAACTTATCTGTAACGTTAGGCAACTAAAAGGATATAAAACCCAGTAATATTCTCATGACAAAGGTTTTGTTTTTAAAGTCAACAGCAATTCTGGCCCTTGAGAGAAAATGAACTGCACCGCACAATATAAAATCTCTTTTTGCAGCTAGTAATAATTTCCAACAGGAAGGTTTGGGGTGAGTATGTCTTCATTTGAGGACAATGTAATTTAAGACTGGACACTTTGAAAGTAGAAATTTGAGGTACCTCAGGAAATTTGTTTTTAACTTTAAAAGGAATCTTGAGGGGTCAGTGTGCCAACTGGAAGGCAAGAACTTGGTTCTGGCAGAAAAATCACCCCATACAGCTTACATTTTCAATTAACCTCTGTGCCTAGGTTCCTCTTTGGGAAGGGATAACAGTCATTGTTGCCTTCCATGGGAAGCCTGTACTTTGACATCCCGGCTGAAGATGTTATATCAACACAAGCGATTAACATTAGAACATAACGCATGTATGCACATAAAGCACCAGCATGGTGCTCTTTTAATGCTTATATAACATCTATAAATACTGCTCTTCCACGCTCTCTCTTCACTTTAGGTCAGAGGAGAGTATAATCATAACATGTCACTAATCCAATTTCTCAAAATATGGAGGAAATATATTTTTTAAAGCTCCGTATCATCCTTTTGAGAAGCACTAAACCTGCTAATCCCTCATGGTCTCTGTAGCAATCGCACAATGGCCCCCCATACTAAGCCTTTGGCATCTTTTCAAATGTTGGCTAAATTACTTCTCCTGGAAACTGGACCGATCATGGTAAGGCCAGTGGAATGAAATTGGCTAGCGATATTAAAATTTTGGTCGTTTAACATTTAACTGACTCTCAACAACGTGTCTAAGTGTTATCTAAACAGATAATTAGCTAGTCGCTGCACAGTGGGCTTTATCTAAATTTAGCAGTGAAATTAGGTTTAGAGAATCAGAAAATAGGAAAAGAAATTTTCTCAAGGGAAACGGTGGTGTCAGCACAGCTGAGGAATGTCACAATAGCTACATTTCGTCAATTACGATCATCATCAGGGGTTCTCCAGTAGAGACGCAGGACAAGGTTTATTCACAAGCGCATCCTGAGGATAGGCGATGGAAAGGAGTGGCTGGAGGAGACAGGCTTACAAGGGACGACAGAGACAGGCAGAGAAAGAGAAGAGAAAGGGGGTGGAAGAAGAGAAGGCACTAAACCAGAGCGCTGGGAGACAGGATGGGAGGCGGAAGTTAAGAAAAAAAGAGAGGTAGGCAGGGGTAGAATGGTGTGTAGCTTTGGAGGTGAGTAAAACATTGCAAATCAGTGGGTGGAGGGTGGGGGAACCCTAGTGATGGAAGGGGCGTGCTCTTGGCGGCAGGCAAGCATTAGTTTTAGCTGCGATAGGCGGCTAAATCCTTGTTCGACTTTTCTTCTTATTGGAGCCACATTTACGACTATCTGGTGGAGATGGCAGGACCTACATACAATTAGTTAATGGTATCAGGACTGAGGACGTGTCTTCTGCCTCCAGCACCCCTCGGGACAGTCCAAACTGTCCACCGCCCCAGCAGAACCGCCAGCGCTGTGGCTTCAAGGTCAGGCCACCAGGGCTGTGCGTGGCGGGTGGATGAAGAGGGCAGAGCGCGCAGCCATCTGGCGTGAGGGAGGGTCGTGGTGGATCCCAGACCTCTTAGGGCCAAATGCTTAACACTTCCCCCGGTCCCTTTACCGCGGTCAGCTCAAAGGAAAACAAGCAATGAAAATAAAATTACACGTGCGAACATGCAAATGAAACAAAACCAAAGAAAAACACCACCGCACTCTAGGCGCTCCGATGGGGGAATCCATGGCCTCCTGTTGCCAGTCGCCCGGCGAGGACAGCGGACAGCCCGGCGGCCGGAGAAGCAAGAGCGAGAAAGCAAACCTTCTGGGGGCCCCTCTCCTCGGTCCGCTCCGTTGACCCCTCCACCAAACCGCCCTCCCAAGAGAAAGGAGCAAGAAAATCGCCTGTGCAAACAAGCCTCGGAAGGCTGGGGAAAGTGGGGCTGGGAAGAAAGAAGGGATTCGGAGAGCGCCGCTGTCCCGGGAAGCAGGAAGGAGAAAGTCTCTCCTTTCAGCCCCCTGCGTCCCTGGCGAGGAGGGAGATGACTAGTTCTCCAGGCTGTGTTCAGCTTCCTAGACAGGGACCTTTAGCGTGGGCAACGGAAGGGCAGCCCATCCTGCCATTCCCTCCTCACCACTCCCCCTCCTCCTGTCCCGGCACCCCGCCAGAGGGAGAGCGCGGCCGGGGCGAGGCGAGCAGCCAGCACGATTGTCCCACCGCCCACCGCCTCCGTCAGCGCCGGGGCAGCGGTGGACCCGCGAGGGGCGGAGTGGGCGAGACCATTGGAAACATTTGGAAGGGGGGACGAGGCGGGGACGAGGCAGGAACGAGGGGCGGGGCCTACTAACCTATTCCAGATTTTCCTGTCCTCTTGAAAGCCCTGCTTTGGGAGAAACCCGTTATCAAAGTGGAGAGAAGAGATTTTTTTTTTTTTTTTTTGAAGGGGGAGGAGCGTGTGTAGGAGGGCGGGGTGGGAGGAGACGCGGCTTGCAGTCGGCGATCAGACGGGAGCTGGAGTTGTGCAGGGAGGGCGGGAGAGTCCCAGCGCCGGCTCTGAGGGTCGGCTTCCTCTCCCCCTCCCGTGCGGGGCGGGGTGGTGCGTTCCGAGTTCCCAGGAGTTCGAGGCGGGCGGGTGCCGGGGGGAGGGGAGTGGCGGCGGCGGCGGCAGCGGCGGGCGGCTCCCGCCTCAGCCTAGGCAGTGGCGTCGGCGAAGGCAGAGTCGAGGCAGCCGCGAGCGCTCGGCTGAGTGTCAGCCGGTGGCGACGGCTCGAGAACTGGGAGTTGGGGACGCGCGCGCCGGACCTTCCGCCGCCGCCGTTGCCGCCGCGGCCGCTGCTGCCGCCGCCCAGAGCCTAAGGCGCCGGGGCCGGGGGAGCAGGGGGGGCGGGCGAGCGAGAGGGCCGGGGGGAGGGTGGGGGATGGCGCGGACCCCGGGGCCGGCCCCGCTGTGTCCCGGAGGCGGCAAAGCACAACTTTCCTCCGCTTCTCCCCCCGGGGCCGGGCTCTTGCTGCCACCCCCGACGCCGCCGCCGCTACTGCTGCTGCTCTTCCCGCTGCTGCTCTTCTCCCGGCTCTGTGGTAGGTGAACCTCGGCGGCCGGCGCGGGCTGAGGGAGGCGCGACCGAGGGTCCCGGCTCCACCGCCGGCCGGCGCGGGCCGCCCTCCGGGGCGGTAAGGCGGTTGTGCTCGGCGGTTGACTGCGCTAGAGGGTGCCGTGGACTTTGGCTGGAAACTTTTCGCCGCGCCCGGGGCGAGGCCCGGGAAGGGCCGGGGCCGGCGAGTGCTGCGCCGGGCGGCCGGCCGGCCGGCCGCTCCCCTCCCCCGCTCGCCGCTGCCCGATGCCGAGTGCTGGGTGCGCGGGGAGCTCCTTCATGTTTGCTCCGGGAACCGTTACCTCCTCGCTCATTCGCGGAGGAAGTCGAGAGCGCGGACTTCTGGGCTGGGGCGAAGGTGCCGGGCTGCACGTTTGCCGCCTCCTTTTTTCCCTGGTGAAACTTGAGCTGTGAGTCCAGATACCTCCAGGGACCAGAGCCCGACGGGATGAAGCCGTAGGCTCCCAACCCCTCCTGGCCTCCCGCTCTGGAGAAGGCACCATGTTAGCCCACCCTGCAGCATTCCTTACAGTTCTCTTCCGTCCTCCGGCCCGGTTCTGCCCCGGCAGCCTCTGGATCGCTTTGCATTGAGCCCGTCGCTGCCTTCCAGTTTATGGGACGTCTCTCACACTGTCCATGTTTATTATAGCGAACGCTGTTTGTCCTCAGGACTTCGATTTGTGTGTTAAATACCTGATTGCATCGATTGTGCTCTGGCTGTTCAGATTAAAACAGACCCCACGCCTCGTCCCCTCATTTTATGTTACAGTTTTCCTATCACATTTGGGGGCTAGTCTCTGTAAATTCTGTTCCTAGGTATCCGAGACTAGAAATCCACTTGTTATAAGGATCCTGTAAAAAAAAAAAAAAAATCTGGCGCCTCATGCAAGAGAGATGGACTAAGTGATCATTAATGGAAGGCGGTGATTTGGGAACGTGAGGCCACACCAGTTTGGGGGGATTAGCTTTGGCTTTTGGTAATACCGAAATACTGCAGGAAGTTATTCATTCGAACACTCAACTTGGTGAGGAAGGTGAAGCAAAACTTAACGCTTGCGCAAAGATTAGTGTAGCTAAGACATTTCTATTGGTACATAAGGCTGCTGTTGGATCTGTTTAGTGGGATTGTAAATGAAACCAGAAGTTTCATTAGTGTTTATTAAAAGGAGAGATGTGTGCGGATTTCTGGGATGGTGTGATTTAGAAGAAAGAGAGTCCTGTTCCGGGAGGTGTGTCAGGGTAGTTGGTTTATGAGGGGAGGCAGAGTTTTCAAGAGATTGAGTGCCCCTTATAGGCTGAGAATCTCCTCTACCAATTCACCACCGCGTTTCAAGCACGGTAATGAAAGTTTCTGATTTACAGGGTATAGCCTGATAAGTGGCTTGTTATCTAATCTGCATTGTTTCTGTATCTCCACTCCCCAGCTGTTTGGTTCCACAACACAATTCTTAATGCTGCTACCTCTGTAAATTGATGCAAGATTCTACGTTGAATTTGTATACTGTTCTTTGCCATTAGAGAAGATGGTGGATTCCAGTTGAGTGGGAGAAAAGTTGGAGGGGGTGTTAACAGTTTACTATCCTGATTTAGATTGTGTTAAGGACTAAGTGAATATTATTTGTACCTCTAATAAAGGCTTATCTTGCTAAGCAAAGCCTTATAGAAGACTGAAACTAGGTGACATGTGCGTATAACCAAAGATACTGAATTTGAATAATAATTTCATAGTGCTTGTTCAAGGGCTTGTACAAGGGCTGATTACTTTTGAAGGAACACACGGTTTTCATGCAGAAGAAAGGTGTGTTTTTCTTTAAATCCTTTTTGGTGATGTGCTATTGGAGGGGCTTGATATTTTTATTTAAGGTCCTAAAAATTCAAGCAGTATAGGCAAATGGACTGTGATTTAGAGCAGGTGTAAATTCAAGTTTTTAGAGTCAATTTTGCTGGTAGTTGTAGAGACAGGCACTAGGTTTGTGTTTCTGTGCACTGTTCTTTTAAAGAGCTTCCTTTTCTGGCTTGTAGTGTTAATAACACCCTAATTTGTGAACCCTTATGACAAGTTTTTTTTTTTTTTTTTTCCATCAACCTCTCTCTATTTTAGAATTCAGTCTTTGAGTAGGGCACAGTTGTCCTGACTTATGGGTGCTTAGTAAGTATGGAAGTAGAATTGTCTTCATGTAACCTATTTGTTGATTTGACATTCGTAGCACTCCTTACAAGGTTTTGCGTGTACTAATGTTTGAGTAGTCAGTTTTAGAATTGAAAAGATTTTTAGGCTTTAAAGGGGCGATTATCTGATGATTTGTTAATCAGAATATTTTACTTGTTTGACACGTACAGTTTTTTTTCTTTTTGCTGCTTTTTTGGATATGCTGCTCACATGTAGCATGACCTTAACTATGCTCAACATCTGCAATGTCATCTATTAGTACAAGATAATTTTTATGTCCTGTTCATGTGCTAAAACAAAACCCTTGTAACTGGTAGATTTGATATTCTGAAAGGTGTAAAAAATTACATATATTTGCTGTTTTGAGGGTGTATACTATCTGTCTTATTGGAAGAACTGAACTTTTAAAGTGAGAATTTTACAGGTTTACAAACTCTGGGGTTTTTTTGTTTGTTTGTTTTGTTTTTTAAGCCTGAGAAATTCTTAGGTATAAAGGTCAAGGGGACTAGATTTACAACATCAAGTACTTGATAAGTCCCATTTATTTAAATCCCATTTTTCTAGAATTCCATATTTCTTTTTTTTTTAATTGAAGTGTAGTTAACACACAGTGTTAAATTAGTTTCAGCTATATTTCTTTATGATAGCAATATTCAGTTCATATGTGATCAGGTTTATCTCACTTTCCTTCCAACATTCTTCTTGAAAGGTAGAGACTGTTAGCAGGGGTATGGTATCAATGAAGGAGATAATAAAGCCTGTTTGGTCTTTGTCCATTCCTATTTGAATCTAGGATTCCATGACTTTACATTTTCATCAAGGTTTTATTTAATGATAAATGACGATAAAGAAGATCTATTATTAAATTGAATCTTGAACAGCACTTTCAGTACTTCCTGTATTCCTGGCACTTGATAGGCACTTGGGGACATAAAGCATGAATAAGGCAGAGTTCTGGCTTCAAGGAGCTTACAGCATTGTGATAGACATGAAGACAATTGTTGATTATAGGACAGTCAAGTGTTTATGATAGAGATCTGCATGAGGTACTGTGGGGTTGCCCAGAAGAGGGATTCCAAACGTGTTAGGTAAAGATAAATGTGAATTGTGAGAAGTAAAATTACTTTTTAAAATCAGTGAGGCAGATCTTAGTGGGATTAGACATTGTGGTAGGTGGTAGAAGTTTGTTCCTGTCTCTTTCTGATCTTTATTGTTTAAATACTAAATGGGCAGTTTGATTCTGAAAAACAGGTTGCCACTTAATAGCTTTGTGAATTGTTGGCAAGCTATTTAACCTCATCTTAAAAAAAAAAAAAAAGATATCACCTTGTGTGTAGAGTTGTTGAGAGAACTAAGTCAAAGAATAAAATAATAAAACAGTGCATGGAATATGGCAAACATTCAAGTGTTAGTAGCATTGCACATTATAAACTAACTTGCCTGGTATTTGCCATTCTTCAGTTCTACCCTAATGTCTTGAATTGAGTTTTCAAGGTAATTAACTTAATCTATTTGCACTTTACAGCTTTTTTTTTTTTTGAATGTGTAGCGCAGTCAGTGCTCTTTAAATATTTGTTAAATTTGTTTCAGATAAATATTCAGAAGACCAGTTCTTAGAATATGAGGATACAGTGAAATTAACTTTTGTAATTGTATGGAACCAAGTTGAATCTTCCCTTGATGATGGGGAATGCATTTTAAGATTTGGCAGTTCCCTAAGGTCACTTGGAATGTATTGAAAATGTAGAGTTGGAGAAAAGTGTCACAAGTAAGCTTCTACCTTATCAAGTTACTGATAGTATCAGGTTGGAGCCTATAATATGTACTGCCCATATAAATCTTTCCGCATTCTTAGCAGATATAATTGGAAAGTGAACCAAATTTAAAAGTAAGCAAAAAACCCCAGATCTTCCTTTCTTGTATTTAGCCATAGCATCAGAAATAGGAACTGGAAAAAGCTGGGCAATTTTATATTTGTGTGTGCATGTGTGTATTTACTGTCTTGTTTATTTCATTATGCTTAAATATATTTAATTTAGTGATTCAGGAACTCTAATGGGCATTTTGCGTTTGTATAGTTAAGAAGTTAAACTTAGGACTTCTTGCCTATTATTTGAAAATTACTGAAGAGAAGCTGGCTAGGATACCTTTGTTAAAAAATAGAGTATTTTGACATTTTGTGATTTGCCCCTTTAAAATTAGAGTAAATAGCATATTGTTATAGCATATTCTATAATCCATTAAAGTCCTTATAACAGTTCATAGTAAGGACTAACTAGTTTGTGAAAGATGTGGCATTTAATTAATAATGGCTATTAATATATAAATTTAGGATAAAATCAATCCTTAAGTTAGTAATAGAATGATTATTAAAGATGATTTTATGTTCCAAGCATTCAGGTCCAAAAATGTAAGTACCATAAATGTCATACTTTTGATTACCTTTTGTATTTTTATCTAAAATTTTTTAAAGTCTTGACTATGTATCCTTTCCTGAATTTCATAAAACTTAAGATTTCTATTTTTTTTTTAAGTTTATTTATTTTGAGAGAGTGAAAGAGCGAGCACTTATGGGGGAGGGACAGAGAGAGAATCCCAAGGAGGCCCAGGAACCATGAGATAATGACCTGAGCTGAAATCGAGAGTCGGATGCCTAATGGACTGAGCCACCCAGGCACCCCAAGATTTCTATTTTTATACTAGGTTCTGACATTTAATAATTTATTTAAATAAAATTTATCCTGACTCTTTATCAAGGGTGAGCCTTAATTTTTTTCCTAAATGACTCAATTATTATACTATAGATAATTCATTTA